ACTTGGATTGTGGAAGGTGACAAGAATACAAAGTTTTACCACATCTCAACATTAAAGAGACGTTGGTGTTTAACAAAGTTTAGGGACTCTGTTTGGCCGTGGGGGAATGAGTATTGGAGGAAGAGCATTGAAGAAGATGGCTAGGGAGTTTTATATCTCCCTGTACTAGGTGGAATAGGTTTTGGCTCCACGATTACCAGCTAGCTTAAGTAAGCTCAATGATCGGGAAAGAGACATAGTGGCCCACCCTATTGAGGATTTTGAGGTATGGAAAGCTATTAAAATTATGAGAGGACTCAAATCACCCTGGAAGGATGGTTTCCCACCCATCTTCTACCAACGATGTTAGGATTTGGTGGGGCCTTCTTTCTTGCGCTTTGTTGTGGGGTGTGTCAATAACTCCTTGATTATAGTTACAGTTAATGACACCTTGCTTTGTTTGATATCCAATAAGGAAAGCCCAGAATCGATTACCCACTTTTGGCCTATTTGACTATACAACGTGGCTTACAAGAATATTAGTAAGGTGTTGGTGAATCAGATTAAACCTTTGATGAAGAATATGATTCAGCCAACACAAACAAGTTTTGTATCGGTTGTCACATCACATATAATATCATTATTATCCAATAGGTAGTCAACTCCATGGTGTTGAAGAAAGGCACGAAATGCCAGTTGACACTGAAGATTGATCTAGCCAAAGCCTATGATAGAATCAGTTAGAGCTTCCTGCGCGAGAAACTAGAGGAGATTGGCTGGACAACCGCAACAATAGACATCATTATTTATTATGTCTCCTCCTCTTCCATGCAGGTGCTCTGGAATGGTTGCGTCACCGATGAATTTACCCCCTCACATGGATTGCGTCAGGGTTGCCAACGTCACCTTACCTCTTCACCTTGTGCATGGAGTGACTAAGTCATACTATCGAGGAAGTAGTGAGATTGGGACAGTGGAAAATGATACGAACGTTACAAGGTGGACTCTCTCTCTCACCTAGTATTTAATGATGACTTGATTCTCTTTGTAGAGGCGGGTGATAGACAAGGGAAGGCTATTACAGACCGCCTTGACTAACTTTGCCTACCATCCGGATAACATGTCAGTAAGGAAAAGTCAATCATTTTCTTCTCTAAAAGCACTCATCGATTGTGGTGTATGGCCATTGCTCGTGAGCTGGGTATGCCTATGAATCAGGATCTTGGTAGGTACCTTGGATTCCATGTCTTTCATGGTAGGGTCACAAAGGACACCTATAGGTATATCCTAGATCGTTTTGATAATAAACAGTTTGGTTGGAATTTGGAAATATGGTGCTCTAATTTTTGCAGGTTGGGTTACCATTGCAGTGTTAGTCCTGAACTCGTTATCGAGCTATGTGATGCAGACCATAGTACTTTCCCAATCCATCTGCTACATAATCGATCGTAAGGTAAGCTGGTTCATTTGTGGGCTTCGGATGGAGAGAGAAAGATACATCTTGTTCATCGGAAGGTTTTTTGCAAGCCTAAGTCAGAAGGAGAATTGGGTCTCTAAAGTGATCTAGAGCTTAAACATGCAGTTCTAGCAAATCTTGCGTGGTCTTTTGTTAAGAAACCAGATGAGTTGTGGGTTCGTGTCTTGCAGGCTAAGTATTTCAGGAAGCTAGACGGAGTACTTGAAGCAAAGACATTGGCGAGAATGTCAAATTTTTTATGAGGCATTCAAAAAGTCTGGCTCATTGTGGAAGAGGGGATGCGTATGTGTATAAAGTATGGGAAAACTACCTCATTTTGGAAAGATCGATGAACTAACAATGGCGAGCTCCTAGTAGACCAATCGACAGAGGAAAGCTCCCCCTATCAATCCTTCACAACCTATGGCCAACTTTAGTACGTCGAACGGTGAGTGGGATCTCTCCACACTCTGGTCTTTTCTACCCGAGGAAGCTGTTTTGCAGGTGTAGGGCATTCAACCACCGCAGGCGATGTTGGGAGAGGATGTTATGACATGAGGGGTTGAGACCGAGGGGAAGTTTTGCGTTTGGTTGGCTTATGACGTATCCAAAAGCGATGTGTTGGAGATGAAAGTCCTAGCGCGTGTTCACCACCTCCTCTAGCTGGCATCAAAGAGCAATTTCTCACCAAAGAAGAGTTGTTTTGACATCTCACAAATTCTTCTATGTGTGCGTCTTGTAAGGATCCTGCGAAAATAGTCTTGCATGTGTTGCATAACTTCCCTTTTCCAAGTTGACTTGGATGTAATACAGGAGTGGATCATGCAAAATATCACTAAGGAGAACACTAGCCTTGGGTCTTGCATTATCTGCTGGTCCCTTTGCAAGACCAAGAATGACAAATTCTTCGCAAGAAAAGTGATCACCAATGAAGCCTTCCTACATTGCTTCCTGGCTTGGATAAATGTCGTGCGGATAGCCATGGATTAAGACAGGCTCATACATTTGCCTCGTCTTCATGCTAGAATGGAGGTAGAGATCTCGTGGAAGCCGCCACCTCCTAAGTGGGTTACTCTCAATTCAGACAACTCTGTTCTTACTGATTTAGGAAATGCAACAAGTGGCCTGATTAGAGATCATAATGGATGCTGCATGGCAGCATTCTCTTTAAACTTAGGGATTTGTTCAATCACCCGAGCATAATTGAGTGGCATTGTTTAGGGGCTTCAGATGGCATGAGATCAAGGTTATCATCGAGTCCGCGTTGAGCTTGACTCTAGGTGTGTGCTGTTGAGCTGCTCCAGAACAAGGAGCGGCCGGACCACCACCACGGTGATGTCATTGATAGATTTTAGAGTTTAATGGCTCAAGACTGGGCAATTTCTATCTCCCATGTTTACCGAGAGGGATATAAGTGTGCAGATTACCTAGCTAATAGTGTTCATTCCTTTCAGTTGGGGTATTATTCTATTCTTGTGACGGATCTTGTTCTTTCTAGTTTGCTTCTGTATGATTATCAAGGACTTTTTAAGTATCATTTTATTGTAAATCAAAGCTGAGATGTTCTGCATCCATTTACAAAAAAAAATTATGATCTTTTCAACTCCTCTATTAATACTCAACGCTCTACTACTAGATGGTGTGCACGGTTGGGTAATGCTTTTGTTTCATAACGGGATAATAAGAAGGACATACAAGGTCTCTAACTCCTCTACAAAGGTTGAGTATCGTTTTCCAATGTTAGCTTATAATTTGTATGGCTTCAACGCTTTTTCGACGATTTTTGTGTTCATTGTTTTATTCCTATTGAGTTTTAAGTTCAGAACACTAGTGTCATTCAAATTGCATATAACCCCAATTTTCGAGATCTCACCAAACATATCAAGATTCATATGTAGTACTACATTCATGACTTAGTTCGTGAAGGCACTATTCAGATGCACTATCTTCCAACTTAGGGACAAGTGACAAACATCTTCACGGACTTCTTTAGTTCCAATTTCATTGATATCTCTCGCGCAAATTGATGATTGAACCTTACATTAATCTACTGGATTATGTTGATTGTATGATATGTTTTCGTTTGGTAGTGTATATATGTTTAGTAGTTGATTAAGGTGGTGAAAGCACACTAGCTATGTTTCGTGGCTTGGACGACGATCCATATAGCCCATGTAACAGAGGTGTCCTTTCCTTGACTATATATATATATATATATATATAGGGAGTTCTACGGTACCCAGGGTGAAATCCTGGGTACCGCATACCTTGAGTAAGAAAACACTATCCTGAACTTGAATTGATTGATCTTTCGGACATGATACTATACTCTAACCCTTAAAGATCAAAATCTAGGTCTTACTTCTCTAAATCTTATATCCCAAGATCAGTTTAATTAGAAACAATAATCAACGGTTATGATTCGTCCAAATATAGGCAAAAACATCAGTGCACCATCTTAGAGTTTATAGCTTGTGATTTAGATAATTAGGACCTAGGGTTCACTCATCAAGGGTTAGGGTATAGTATCATGGCCAAAAATCCTGCTAATTCGAGGTCTAGATAGAGTTTTCATACTCAAGGTATGCGGTACCCCGAATTTCACTCGGGGTACCGTAGAAGGCACCATATATATATATATATATATATATATATATATATATATATACCGTAGAAGGCACCATATATATATATATATATATATATATATATATATATATATATATATATATGGCGAGTTCTACGGTACCCTAGGTGAAATTCGGGGTACCACATACCTTGAGTATGAAAACACTATCTAGACCTTGAATTGACCGATCTTTCGGACATGATACTATACTCTAACACTTAAATATCAAAATCTAGGTGTTAACTCTCCCAATCTTATACTCCAAGATCAATTTAATTAGAAATAATAATCGACGGTTATGATTCATCCAAATATAGGCACAAAAATGAATGCACCATCTTAGGGTTTATAGATGATGATTTAGATAATTATGACCTAGGGTTCACTCACCAAGCATACACGAAGTAACCAGCGCGTTATTTGGACCCCGATCTGCGCGTTATTAGCACCACATATCATGAACAGTTGCAAAAGAACAGAGGCTTACCGCAATACTTGGTTCCACAACACCAGGCATACACGAAGTAACATGCGCGTTATTAGCTCCCCAGTCTGCTTTCTCCTTATCATTAGCAGAATCCGCGGGTTTAGCAGCAGACCCATCCAAATACAAAAACACGCGCCTGCCTCAATAAAGAAGTGAAATTGAAATTCCCAAAACGGGAAATTCTTTTCATTTGGGCGAGCCGAAACAACATCCTTGGCGGAATCCATAGAGCAAGAAGTAGAAAATATCACATAACCGAAAAGGAAGAGGGAGAACACGAGATGCAAAGAATCCAAATCTAGCAGCGGAAGCACGATAGAGAACAACTCACGACATGGCACAAAGGAAGTTGACATGCTAAAACACAACATCTAACAATGGCCATGTGTAACCAATGAAAGGGACTGCAGTATAGTAGCACAAGTAATAAGTATCAAATCCACGGGTCTATACTTAGCTTCAGTTCATTATATAGCAAACTAGATTAAGGATTGATTTACTAAACTACTCTACTAACTACTCTACTAATTACAAGTTGGGAACTCACTTAGGTATGATTCCCCCTATCTCCTCAATTAGGTCCAAGTTGCAATTACCTTTGGTTGATCTACTGTTGATTAAACTGCGAAAAATCCTAAATTAGCTTGGAATCTCTTAAGCTGACCAAGCTCTCTTAGACAGAATACCCGGCAGGCGACTAGCCTTCACCGGGATAGGCTGCTAAGGCGATTCACACAGATCTCCACTACTCGAATGAATTCCAGTACAAAGCAGTGAATTGATTGACTCTCGCACAACCAATTCACCACTATCAATCAAGGAAGCTCTCTTAACCTAATCAGATTCTATCTATCATAGGTTAAAGCAGAAATCAAGAGAAGATGACCAGGCTTCAATTGACTCTATAAATCATGCCTCAATCGATTATAATCAAACAATATAGCATCCAAAACTTCATATAAGAAAGATCCTAACACATGGAACTAGGGTTCCTCAAAACCTAAGTGAAGGGAAGTTACTCTATAGAGAAGAGAGAGACTGCAGAAATCTGATCTAGATCTTCAATCTCCATCTCCAAGCTTGATTCCCGAGCTCCAATGGCAAATAAATCTTCCAAAATAGCTCCAAGAATGTTCCCAAGTGGCTTTCTCTCTCTAGGGTTCATCCCTTGGGTGTTTCGGAACCAAAACTCAGCTCTCTCTCTCTAAAAGCGCAGAAAACAAACTTATACCCAAACAGGGACAAACACAGCCGTGTTTAGTCCCGCCCGTGTTTTGGTCCCGCCCGTGTTTTAAATCCCTTCAGCAATCTTCACAATAGAGGCTAGACATAAAAAACACTAGCAGGTGCCAGATGAAACACGACCATGTTTTGAGGGTACCCTGCCCGTGTTTTTACTGCCGAACATGTTCCCCTATATTCAATGCTTCGTTTCTCCCTCGTCCAGACTCCGAATCGGTCGCCGTTTGATCCCAGACGCTCTTAGTCTCGTCCTCTTTCTTTTCAGGACAAGCTTGCTTGATTATTTGTTCATAAATTAGGTATAAATCCATTATTCTTCATGTCATGCCCGAGTTTTTTCTCCCGAATCGCCAATTGATATCCGATTGACTTGAAACTTGCGCCTAGCCTTTCCTTTGACGCTTGGTACCTGAAATGTGACAAAGGAACACAACCTAGCATAAAATAGGCCAAAGAAGCGATAATGCAAGCTTAAAAAATCAAGAAACAACTGGTAAAACATGTGCAAATATCGAGTCATCAAATCCCCCCACACTTAACCGTTTGCTTGTCCCCAGGCAAACAAAGTCAGATACAAGGTAAGCTCAAAACATTTTAACCATGCAACCCTTGGGGACCTATCATATAGGCACGAAACACAGGAATCATAATGGCTTTTAGACATCAACACATGGACAACTTCAACAGCAACCTGGACAACCACCACAAAGGACATTTGAGTGCAGCAAAGTCGGGTAAAGGAGGAGTCTCCCTTCTATTCACCAACCAACATAGACTCGACTCAACCACTTATCCAAGATAGTCACTTCATGCATAAACTAAAGACATCAGAATCAAGACCGAGTCAGCTGGGTCCTCACCGGGGTAAAGAGTGTAAAGAACAAGGAAATGAATCGCTCACCCTCGATCAGTGGGTTCAGGACAATTTGACGCGAAAAATGCGCATGGTTATTCTCTCAATCCCTAACATCTCTTAACCATGACAACAGCCTCTTAATGTTAGAGTTCACATAAGGGATGTCACCACTAACTAATCCGGAGGTCTTGGACACAAGTTCAGATGGCGGGCTAGGGTCTTGGACATGGGGAAAATGCCTTATAGGCGGTGGAAGTATTCATAGCACAAGGTTCCACAATTCCAAACCCAACACATTCACAGCCAATCAAACCACTTACTTTCTTTCTGCCATTCTGCATTACTCAAATTCTTTAGAGCACAAGAGCAAAGGAGGTCACAATAATGTTAGTATTTCTAAGCCAGACTGCTAAGAAACACTACTTAATGAGCATGATTCAGATTTTTGGTAGTGACTCTCTTTTGCTTTCATTCATTTTTTTTTCATTTCTTGAGAGAACCACCACCTCTGCACATTTTTCAAACACATGCCCAACTTCTAAGCACTACCTCCAACCCTCACATTATTTTTAGCATGAACAATAGAGAACAAGCAAAGACCACTTTGTGGAACCTTCTAAGAGATGCAAACGGGTGATTTCTCATTGTAGACCGAAAGAAAGAAAGTGACACGGCTCAAAGGGGCTGACTAGGGGGGTATGACACACCAGGAAAGTCAATTTGTTAGTGGGCTATTCCTATGCCTCCATCATCTTAGCTAATGACAACATGAATGCTACACATCATGGAAGAGGGATCTATCGCACAAGAAAGAAACGAGCTGGCTTAAATCTCACATGGCTACCTATATGCTCCATCTCTCATTTTGTTTCCCTGAACTAGATGCATAAACGACTGTTAAGAAAAAGTGAGCAATCCAAGTCACAGTTGGTAAGCAAACAGTTGAAACACTGAACCCCTACACAACTCTACTGCACGTCTTAGTCATCATTATAGATTGTCCTAGTCACAATCCAGTTGTCATGCATCAATTCGAAAGCCATTCGATTCACCAATCAAGCCCACAGTGCCAATAAGATCATGCAAACATCAGTACTTGGAGCCCTCAAATCTCGAGATTTGTACAGCGGACTAGGCTCCAAGCACACGCATACATAATCAAACACCCCCCCCCCACACACACACACACTTAAGCACGATATTGTCCTCAATGGAGGATAGATAAGGAGGGTAGAACGAAGTTACCAGATCAAGTGTGAATGATGGTGAATAGGGCAGGTGGTGCATTCCAGGAGGAGAGAGTAGTCGGAACACAAACACCACACAAAATCTCATAATGGTTGAGTTATTGACTCTAAAATCAAAGAAAAAAACAGACTCAACCAAGGATAAATAGGAAAAAAATGCAAACCGACTGGTTGGGTTGCCTCCCAACAAATGCTTCTTTCATGTCGTGAGCCGGACGGTGTCTCTTAAACTTCGATACACCCTAAAACCTCTTTGAAGTTGAGGTTCTCGTCAATGAGGTGGAGTCTCAAGTGACGAGCATGTGGTATGATAAGTGATGAAGGCTCGTGCACTTGATGCGGATGAAGTCTCCATCCTCGAGAACTCTTCTTCTCTTCTTCTCTCGTCTCATTGCCCCAAACTAGATATGACAGCACCGATTGACCACCATCGCGTCCACCAAGAGGGACCAATGTCGATGTGGCCTTGGTCTGGCAAAGAGACACTGCAAATGGGTCCTTGCTAAGTAGTTCCTTGAAGTTTGGTGGAGATATCACATGTAACTCATGGCCGGTGCAAGCCTCTTCCACCTTAACTTCATCCTCGGCCTGGACGCCAATTGCTTCTTCAACCTCCCTTCCTTCTTCAAAATGTGGTATCACCCCTGGAAAAGGATCAATAACTCCTTCTGCTTCACTTTTGTCATCCTCCACAACTTCTTTCTGCACGCTTTCTTGCTCTTCTTCTTCCAGCACAGATTGGAGAGCAAGTGGCCAAGCAATTTCTTCGATGAGATCATCTTGCATCTCCTCACTCATGCCCGCCTCTTCAAAGCTCAGTGTGGGGTGTGGGAAGGTGTGGTCGGCTACAACAGGACATTCTTGATCATGATCATCACGGGAGCTCTCCGTGACAACTTCTGTCTGATCCACAATTTCTTCGTAGCCTTCGTCTTCCTCCTCCTCTTCTAGTATAGTAGCATAAGGGTGATCTTGAGCAGGCTGTGCATAAGATTTCTCAAGATCCTCGAGGCTCTTCTTAATACTCAAGAGGATCTCCTCTGTTTCACGATAGGCCTGGGTATAAAGATCCATCTTGGAGTATGATCTCTCAGTTTCTCGAGCAAACTGCTCCACGAGAAGCCTCTATTCATAGTTTGAATCTGGCCGTGGAGTGTAGCATGGCTCTGCAGAATGGCCCATGAAGGCTTCCATGGCTACTCTAGCTCCGATGGACCTTCTGGTTGTGGGAGAAATTCTTCTTGATAAGGAGGTTGTTCTTGATATGCCTAGGGGTTTGATTGTTCTTCATAATAGGGGCTTTGATACTGAAACCCGAATCTATAGTCTTCCCCTCCTTGATTGTTCCGGGAAGTATCGTGGTAATACCACTCTGGTGGTGGTGGATACCCCCACTGGTTGGAGAAGCCATTAGGATCCATGATTTAGATCTGCACCAACAAAAACAAAAACACCCAAGTGAAAAGCAAGGGTGGAAAAGAAAAACAACTTGACACGCTAAAACACAACACCTAACAATGGCCAAGTGTAACCAATAAAAGGGACTGCACTATAGTGGCACAAGTAATAAATATCGAATCCACGGGTCTCTAGAGTTACTATTACTCGGCTTCAGTTCATTATCTAGCAAACTAGATTAAGGATTAATTTACTAAACTACTCTACTAACTACTCTACTAATTACAAGTTGGGAACTCACTTAGGTATGATTCCCCCTAGCTCCTCAATTAGGTCCAAGTTGCAATTACCTTTGGTTAAATTGTGAAAGATCCTAAATTAGCTTGGAATATCTTAAGCTGACCAAGCCCTCTTAGACAGAATACCCGGCAAGCAACTAGCCTTCACCGGGATAGACTGCTAAGGCGATTCACATAGATCTCCACTACTGGAATGAATTCCAGTACAAAGAAGTGAATTGATTGACTCTCGCACAACCAATTCACCACTATCAATCAAGGAGGCTCTCTTAACCTAATCAGATTCTATCTATCATAGGTTAAAGTAGAAATCAAGAGAAGATGATCAGGCTTCAATTGACTCTATAAATCATGCCTCAATCAATTATAAACAAACAATATAGCATTCAAAACTTCAAACAAGAAAGATCCTAACACATGGAACTAGGGTTCCTCAAAACCTAAGTGAAGGGAAGTTACTCCATAGAGAAGAGAGAGACTGCAGAAATCTGATCTAGATCTTCAATCTCCATCTCCAAACTTGATTCCCGAACTCCTAAGGTGAAGAAATCCTCAAAAATAGCTCTAAGAATGTTGCTCTCTCTCTAGGGTTCGTCCCTTGGGTGTTTGGGAACCAAAACCCAGCTCTCTCTCTCTAAAATCGCAGAAAACAGACTTATACCCTAGTAGGGTGAAATCACGCCCGTGTTTAGTCCTGCCCGTGTTTTGGTCCCGCCCGTGTTTTAAATCCCTTCACCAGTCCTCACCAGAGAGGCTCGGCATAAAAAATACTAGCAGGTGCCAGATGAAATACGACCATGTTTTGAGGGTACTCTGCCTGTGTTTTTACTGCCGAACATGTTCCCCTATATTCAATGCTTAGTTTCTCCCTCGTCCGGACTCCGAATCAGTCGCCGTTTGATCCCAGATACTCGTATTCTCCTCCTCTTTCTTTTCAGGACAAGCTTGCATGATTATTTGACCATAAATGAGTTATAAATCCATTATGCTTCAGGTCATGCCCGAGTTTCTTGTCCCGAATCGCCAATTGAAATCCGATTGACTTGAAACTTGCGCCTAGCCTTTCCTTCGACGCTTGGTATAAATCCATTATGCTACAGGTCATGCCCGAGTTTCTTGTCCCCAATCGCCAATTGATTTCCGATTGACTTGAAATTTGCGCCTAGCCTTTCCTTCGACGCTTGGTACCTGAAATGTGACAAAGGAACACAACCCAGCGTAAAATAGGCCAAAGAAGCGATAATGCAAGTTTAAACAATCAAGAAACAAAGGGAAAAACATGTGCAAATATCGAGTCATCAGAAGTGAAGTACGACAAGTCTAGACATGAAGAAACGCGAGAGGATCTGATACCATGTTAATCTAGCACGAATCAAAGTAAATGAACGTAAAGGATACGAGATTTAACTTGGTACAACCTCTTAAAGAGGATTTACTCCACGGTGGCTGATGGGGTTCTTGTATTTTGTTAAGGAACCATTAAGCCAGAATTAGACTTAAGTAGTAGCTAAACACGTAGGGCTTTAACCACAAAACCCAATGTCGTCCTCACAGAAAACATATTTACAAAAAAGGTCCCCATAATTTAACCGTAATATGCAACTACTCAAACTAAGTCAAATTTTTACCTAGTTCACACTTGGCTCATAAAAAAGGTGGGATTTTTTTTTTCGTTGAATAGAAGGTGGGATTTTGTTTGCATTATTTATTACAATTTTTGTTTAATGAGCTCGTTAATGAGCTTGCCAGTTCAATCTATTCGAGATCGTCTTATTTATGATTCTAAATTGTGACACTTTAATTATATGTAGTCCATGCCACAACTACGTGATTGCCCTGGCTCTTGTGTATATATGTAACATGTAATGTGAGGGACAATCATAGAATAAGAAACTCAAATCCAAATCACCTAAAAAAAGTATCTTTTGTCTCTCTAGTTCGGGTTATAGGTATAATATGCCCCTCTATTCTTTTTTACATCAAACATGCCTCTATACTTTGTAAAAATGATCAAACATTCACTTATGTCAAAATTTGCATCCAAAAACCATCAACCACGGTAAAACCTTGGTTTGGGGACACAAATGTCTAAAACATTCCTAATAAATTCACTTTAGAATTGTTTTGTTTCTTTTGTGTAACCAAATACCTCTAATAATTTCATTTTAATGAGAACTAGATAAATAAATGAGGGGGAAAACTGCCCAATTTTGCCAATGTCGGGTCTTGTGAATCTCGTTTCAAGTTTCAACAGTGGTTGACCATTTTTAATGGAAATTTTAACATAAGAACATGTTTGATAATTTTTCCATAGTATAAGATAAAGTTTGATGTAAAAAATAGTAGATGACATGTTTTATAAAACTACATAGTAAATGGACATATTATACCTATAACCCCTCTAGTTCTTTTTGTCATTTAAAATCGTTCCCATTAACAGTTAAATTCATACAATCCATAGCAAAGTGCTTGAAACATTGTCATAAGGAATGAATTAAAAAATTATATTAAAATTGAACTGCTTGCTTATTACATCTACAAAATACTATAAGGCAATGTCAAAAAGCAGCATTTGCCACGTCAGCCTCTCCTGAAATGGCCGCACAATTCGGAGGAGCTTTTGTGGAAATTCCGAACCTATCTCTTCACAGCTCTCGGTCTTCCAATCTTTTACCAGGAAGCGAACCTCTCCCACGCCACCGCCGCCGCTCACTGCCGAGGATCTGCCCTGTCTTCCACAGCTCTTCTCTTCTCTTCTCTCTTTCTGTCTTCCAGCCCGGACATATCACCGCTAATCTTGCAATTCTTCTCCCCCAAGCGTTGCCCTCGAAAGTCCCGTTTCAAACCTCGACGTCGAGCAAGCAAACCATTGTTCTCGCTCATACCTCTTCTCACTCTTCGATCGACTGTCTCCCGCACTCCCGGAAAGCTCACGGCAGCCCTTGCCACCGCAGGTACCACTATCCACGCCTGACCCTCAACACCGCTCCCAAAGTAATTAAATCTCACTCCCTTTCTAATCCGATTCGCAGATTTCTATGTTCGTTTCAAAGGGAGTAGCAAACCATCAAGAAACTATGGGTCGGGGTTTGATGGGGAAGAAGAAGCGGGTTCCGTAATCTTCCAGGTATTGCATCCCGAAACCTTTTCTGAACTTGGTTGTGTTTGGTGGTTGACAGCGACGCAAAATCTGCTGCATTCTTCCCAATGAAATCCTTCTGACCGTCTTTCTTTGGTGCCAATTTGCAAATTGGAAGTTATTCCGGCCCTTGGTCTGCGCATCTCTTCAAGCTACAGGTCGGGGAACATATCTTCAAGTCGCACTCAAGATACCGCTTTGATTTCTCCGAGCTGTCCTGTGTTTGGTGTTGGGTGCTGTGATCGGCAAGTGGGCTGGGTATTGTTGTTGACTGTTTGGTGTATTTGAGTCTAGGACTCCTGTCTCCATTGCTTCCTGCTCTCCGTGGTTGTCTGTCAGTGCATTTTGCTCTCACCAGCAAGCTTTATTTGGGTATGCGTTGAAACTGATAACCAATTAGTTGGAATCAGCTTCTACCTTTTGTTGGATTATCCATTTTGCATCAAATCATAGTGATCCTGTATTAGAGGATTAAAGTTCAATTTTAGTAAGGTCAAACTCATCTCCAAAAGTGAGCTAACATAGCAGAATTGGAAGAAGAGTAATGCAGCCTTTTGTTTTCCTTTCCATCCTTTTATCTCTGCATCATTGTCATTACCTTACTTATCTGGCTATTGGTTTTCGTTTGCCTATGCAGCAATGAGGCCTAAGAGTCAGCGCGAGGAACCTTCTTTTGCCTCAAATCAGCCTCCATTGAAGTCTAAACCTGGTCTTATTCGATGTAATTTACTCCTGACGTACTTTGTTAGGGTTTTTTTAGATTCAAAGTAATGTAGATTCTGCGTTGAAGCGTACTTTGAACCATGTATTTCATTGTGTGTTTGTTAGGGAAAGGAAGAGCTATTTGTATCTCTCCTGAAAGTCCGACACTTGCTGAAGTTGACGCAGAGAGGCTGCGAATTGAGGGTGGTAAGTGAAGTTGATCTCAAATTCTTAGGACTGTGAACATATTCATTTTCTTCTCCATGCCTATTATATACTGCCGATCTGATTGCACAGCAAAGGCAATTCTTTCTCGGTATACAGTGACTTGATTTGTAGATTTTCTTCCCTGTTTATCTTCTTGATAATAGTTATATGCAAGTTGAAAGATCGACGCGGTCGTGTTGATCGCCATATTGCAACTTTAGCTAGGAGGAGAAGGAAGTTTCTTTTGGGAGTACGACGGTTGCATGGAGTGCGTGTTGTTTCAGTCCCAAGTATGTTGTTCTTTTCTTCTCTATTATCTATGTGCTGCTTTTGGGTGGTGGTAGGGAATTGCAGCAGTTGTGGTGACCGTTTGTGATTTTGGTGCTATTAATGTTCAGTAGTTGGAATGGAGCAAGGAGTTTGGATTGAATATTTGATCCATTGAGTTTTTACATCTCGCATACAGCTAGCTGGAATTGTGAAACCTTTGTGTCACTACATTAGTTGTTGTGGGTTAGGGTGATTTCTCTTTTATAAAGTAAAATGCAAATCCATACTCAAGCACCTACAAACCTTTAACGTTTGAACTGAGAGTACCATCACTAAATCTGTACATGCAGAACAGGCAAGAATGTAATGCTTACTTGGGGGTTCCTATGCTATCACTGTATTTTGCTTGGGCTTGGTGTGATTATGAAACTTATTTTGAGCTTAAGAACTTTGTTTTGTACCCCTTTGGCTCTTCTTCTTTGTATGCTGTGTTATGATTTATTTATTCTTGGAGTTGATAGTTTGCGTTCAACTATGTAGTTCAATGAATGTTGTGTTTCAGTATCCGGATGCATAAATAAAACTTTTGCCACCACTAAGCTAATCACGGTCTTGAAGTTCGGTGATTCGATTGGCAAAATAACTATGTATCCTAGCATGCGTACCAAAATTGATGCTTTTATTTGTTATCTTTGTTCATTATTTACTTATTTTCATTACCTTTCTATATTTCTTACTGCTGTACATTTACTATGCGTCTTATATTCTTCAGTGTATGATGTTCCTTTGAAGACCTTCCAAGCTAAGCATAACCGCGCTAGGAGAATGATCCAGATGTGTGAAAAACGGAAGAAATTTGGAGTACCTAGAGCATTTTATAGCCTTGGTAAGTCCAAATGATGTTTAGAACCCATCTTTGGTTCTTTGCTATTGTAGAATTCTTTTAATATATTTTTATTTCTCAGGTTATCCGGTAATTTCGGAATTCTCAATTGGCGAGCCTGAATGTGTTTGCCAATATTGTGGTGCTGTTTTTTGGAGATGTGAAAGTACACGGGAAACTAAAGGAAATGTTCATCCGCAATTCACATTATGTTGCAAGGGAGGGAAAGTCAAACTTCCTGAATGCCGTGACCCGCCTGAGGTTTTGAAGATGTTGTTGGAGTCTGATACTGCTATTGCTCGCCACTTTAGAAAATATATTCGGCAGTATAATAATTTGTTCTGCTTTATTTCACTTGGTGGGAAGGTGGATCACGCTATAAATAATGGTCAGGGTGTGTATGTTTACTCAATTGGCGGCCAAATCTATCATCGAATAGGAAGCTTAGTTCTTGTTGACGGAGAAACACCCAAATTTGCACAGTTATACATTCATGAAACCAATAATGAAGTGCAGAATCGGCTTGATTTCGTCTCTATGAGCTCTTCTTCCAGTTCATTATTACATGACGTTGTCGGAAGCCTGCAGGAGATGCTTGATGCGAATAATGTTTTAGTTCAAACATTTCGCTATGCTCGAGATAGAATTGTGCATGATGGTGTTCAGCCTCTTAAAATTAAGCTTCTGGGTAGAAGAACGGTAGATGGCAGAGAATATGATGTACCGACTGCTAATGATGTTGCTGCATTGATTGTTGATGACACAGGTGAAGATTGCTTCCTACCTGATGTTGTTGTGCAGTATCAAACTATGCAGCTAGAGAGAATTACTTTTTATCATCCCAGCTTAATGGCATTACAGTACCCTCTTCTATTTCCTTATGGTGAAGATGGCTGGCATGGTAACATTAGCTACTGCACGGGCTCGGTTAATGATTTGGGTAACAATGCATTATCTCAGTGTGATTTCTACAGTTATCGTCTACAGACAAGATTTGATCAATCTAGCTCATTACTGCTTTCTGGGAAATTGTTTCAGCAATATGTTGTTAATTCATATGCTTTGATAGAAGCAGAAAGACTAGAGTGGATAAGAAACAATCAATCAAAGTTGCGCATGCACTATTTATCTGGTCTTATAGATTCATTCTTGCGTGGTGATACTGATCTTAAGTCGACTGGGAAGCGGGTTATATTATCTTCAAGCCATACTGGTGACCCTCGATACAAATATGAAAATTTCCAAGATGCGATGGCTATATGCAGGTGGATCGGTTACCCTCATTTATTTATCACATTTACTTGTAATGCTAATTGGCCTGAGATACAATTCATGACCGATATGATCAAAAGTGATGGGAGAAAAGATCCAGATAGAGCTGATGTTATTGCTCGAGTTTTCAAGGCAAAACTTAATCAACTCATGTGGGAGATAACAAAGAAGAAGATATTTGGCACAGTCCTGGCCTGTAAGTTTATATATCTACATTTGAACAATTTTTGTTTGCAAATGTTTTGTATTTATTTTGAAAGATATTACCATATATGCAGATGTGGAAGCTATTGAATTTCAGAAGTGTGGTTTGCCACATGCTCACATTTTATTATTCCTAGCTCCGGAAGATAAGTTTGTAACTCCAACTGATATTGATTCTATCATATCAGCTGAACTTCCAAATCCCGCTTTAGATCCCGAAGGATATGAAGCTGTAACATCATTTATGATGCATGGACCATGTGGAGTGGCAAATAGAAATTCCCCATGTATGGTGGATGGTTTGTGTACGAAGCATTTTCCAAAGAAATATTGTAGTCAAACAGTTATCGATGAGCATGGATTTGCTAAATACCGACGTCGTGATACAGGTGTGACTTTTGAGGTTAATGGCACCCCCTTAGACAACCGGAATGTCGTGCCATATAATCGATATTTGCTATTGCGATTTCAATGTCATATTAATGTGGAGTTCTGCAACAAATCAAGGTATGTATTCTTCTCAATGTCGTGATAGTTGACTTTAAGGTTTAGTACTATAAATGACAATAACATACAATAATTGGCATGTGTCAATCTCCCAATAAATTAAAAGAAAACCTAAATTTTTTTGTTCGACTTTATTAAACTTGGAACATAGAGGTGTGCTATTTATATTCTACTTTTAAATTTGCTGACTTTATTAAACTTGGCACATAGAGTAGTGCTATTTATATTCTACTATTTATAGAGTAGTAATATATGATTATAGTGCTTCTATGGACCTAGATGCCAAAATATACTAGAAGGGTACTTGGTATTGAATTTTAAGTTTTGAGAGAATTTATACATTCTTTATTGCCTTTGTATTCTACTTTTACGGCAAAGAAATATGAGATATTCCTTTAGATCCTTTTGAATATTACCGTGTATGTATTTTTGAATATTCTTTTAATGTGTACCTACGAATAGAAAGTGAATTCTTATGCATTTGCCGTTGACAGGGCTATCAAATATTTGTTCAAATATATTAATAAACCTGCTGATCGTGCTGCTGCGACTTTGGTCGATAGTGACCTGCCCAGCACTACCCATGATGTGTCTGGAAATTCATCTAATTCAGTTTGCGTTGATGAGATTAAAGCTTTTATGGACTGTCGGTATATTACATCTGGAGAGGCATGTTGGAGGATTTTCAAATTTGATGTTTATAATCACTATCCTTCAGTTGTCCGAATGCCATTTCATCTTCCCGGTGAGAATGTTCTTGTCTCTAAGGATAATTCGTCTATGGAAGATGTCATCGAAAATGAGGGTTCTTCTCTATCAATGTTGTTGGCATGGATGGAAATCAATAAGCTCTCTGAAGAGGCAGGCAATTACACG